CTCTCCCCCTTTCTCCTCCTTTCCCCTCTCCCCCCTTTCCCCCTCCCTCCCTCCTTTCTTTTCTCTCCCTCTTTCTCTTCCTTCCCTCCCTCCTTCCCTCCTCCCCTCTTTCTCTCTCTCTCCCTTCCTTCCTTTCTTTCCCCAGCACCACAAAAACAAAAATTATAAAACAATAATAAAGGACTGGAAGAGTTAGACAATAGCAGCAAACTTTTGGTAGGTGGAAAGTGATAAGTTGTAAGAATTTAGCAGACATAGTCAAGTGCCTTTGCCTCTAGCTTCTTAAGAGGTCAGGACCCAGAGGATTGAAGTTTGAAGCCAGCTCAGGTAGAAAAGTTAGTGACTCCTATCTTCAGTTAGCAAAATGTCAGACTAGAGGCTTGGCTTAAGTGGTAGGGCTCAAGCTGTGAGAAAGAAAGCTGAGTTTGAGACGCTGAAGTCAAATTCTAGTTCTGAAAACAACAACAAAAAACTTAGCAGATTTAAGTAAGTTCTAATTGGTTAGGAAAGCTAAGTCCCAATCAAAATACATTGCAGAATATTTGAAAGATGGGGGTGATGATAGCAGCTAACCTCAAACTGAGGGTGGGTGAATGGGGAGGGGCTAGATTAAGGAAGATTGGTTGAAGCCTGGTTTGGAGATAGTTGGATTCCCAGCTTTCTTAACATGCTGGCAAAAGATAAGTCAGTTTTTCCTCTGGTGACTAAAGCAGAGAATCTCTGTGCATATCCAAGGAAATTGTCAAATAATTCAAACAAACTCCAACTAAAGAATGTGTTTCTAGGCCTAGTTTTTAGCCTGATGGATAAGAATAGACTGATAACAAACATTATTATGAAATTTTAGAGGCCTGAAACAAAGAGAAGACCCAAAACCTTCCAGAGAGAAAAATCAGATCTCATCTAAGGGATCAAAAATCAGCATTGGTGCTCGCTTCAGCAGCACATATGCTAAAATTGGAATGATACAGAGAAAATTAGCATGGCCCCTGTGCAAGGATGACATGCAAATCCGTGACACGTTCCATATTTTTCTTTTTTTGGGTCCAGTCGTGGGTCCTGAACTCTGGGCCTGGGCACTGTCCCTCAGCTCTTCAGATCAAGGCTAGCGCTCTACCACTTGAGCCACAGCGCCATTTCCAGCTTTTTTTTTTTTTTTGCTTATGTGGTGCTGAGGAATCGAACCCAGGGCCTCGAGCATGCAAGGCAAGCGCTCTACCACTGAGCCACCTTCCCAGCCCATAACAATAATGTTTTAAATCGCCGAGGTTCTGAGTGCTCTATATAGTTGTTTTTTTTTTTGTTTTTTTTTGTCGGTCGTGGGGCTTGAACTCTGGGCCTGGGCATTGTCCCTAAGCTGTTCAACTCAAGGCGAGCGCTCTACCACTTGAGCTACAGCGCCACTTCCGACAGCATCTTTACAATAAAATAAAATTTAAAAAAATCAGAATTGTCCAGGTATTGCATGCCTGTGATCCTAGCATGTGGAAAGTTTAGACAGGAGGTTTTTGAGTCTCAAGTTTGAGGCCAGACTGGGCTGCATAGCAAGTTCCTAAGCAATCTGATATACATCCATAGTGAGATCCAGTCTCAAACATCACAGTGGCCATCGACTTTAGAACCACAACTCAAAGTTAGAACTCAGTGTAGGAATGCTTCAGTCTAGAATTCTGAGACTATATAAACTTAGGAATAGAACATTTTCAGACTTGTAAAGACAACCCCAGATGGAGGTACAGTTTATCTAAACAAAGAAAGAGAAAAATTTTAAGAGTTAACTCCCTTCATTTGGATTATCTGCCTGATTTGGTCAGAAAGAAAACAGATTTATTGGCTTAACTGATCTGTATTGAAATTTAGGCACATAACCAAAGGTTTGATTTGAATTATTAATAAGAAGAAATAAAAGAAGGCAAATTGGATGAGATGGAAAGGGGAAATTATTCTCTCTCTTTTTGTCAGTTGAGGGGCTTGCACTCTGGGCCTGGGCACTGTCCCTTAGCTAGCTCTTCAGCTCAAGGCCAGTGCACTACCAATCGATCCACAGTGCCACTTGTGGTTTTATGGTGGTTTATTGGAGATAACAGTCTCATGGACTTTCCTGCCATTTACATGTGATATAAACACGGACTATTTAACTGGCCCACATTATGAAACAGAACTGCTCTTGTGGGGCAGTGGGGTCAGAGAAGGAAAGGTAAAATGGCAGTTAGTCAGTATTACCACAAACACTTGATCTCTGTGTTTATAGGTAGGAAGTTTGACTACTGAAAAATCAGACCCAACACAAGAGGTTGCTCCTGAGAGTGAGGGTAAATGTTGAGTGTGTGTGTGTTCGTGCGCGTGCGCGTGTGCACGTGTCAGTCCTGGGGCTTGAACTTAGGGCCTGGGCACTGTCTATGAGCGCTTATGTTCAAGGCTAGTGCTCTACCACTTAAGTCACAGCTCTACTTCTGGCCTTTTTGATGGATAATTGGACATAAGAGTCTTATGAACTTTCCTTCTCAGGCTGGCTTTGAACTGTGATTCTCAGATCTCAGCCTCCTGAGTAGCTAGGATCACAGGAATGAACCACGGGTGCCCAGCTGAGCTATGGGTCTGTCTGTAACAGCAAACCTCCCAACTCTTTGTCTTTGCCTCTTGAATTGTATACATCTATGACTATAAAAACTAAGGTCATTTTAAAGTAAATAAATTTTTCTTTAGAAGTTTGGAATTGGTTTCTTTATCACAAATAACCATAGCAGAGATTTAAGCATAAAGGATAGGCAGCATGATTTTATTTCTCAGAAACCTTGACTTATGCTACTAATTAGGTCTGTCTGTGAAATTCCTCAAGTAAAAGTTGACTGCATCAGTGTGCTGGTTAGATGAGTTTTAGTGTGTCCTGCTCTACTGCTCCTGTGTCTTCAGCTCGTCCATTTTGTAGTTCTTACAGTATTGCTCAGGACCAAATTTTTCGAGGTTTCTGGGGACATTTGCCCACTGCTTCTTGGGTCTTATGTTTATGGCTTTGAGTGGGGAACTGCAGCTGTGTTAACTGATGGTTGTTGAAGGCATTATTCTATAGACCTACTTGGTTTCAAGTTTAGTTTAAAAAATGCAGGTGCTGTGGCTCTCAGTTCCAATCTGAGCAATGACTTCTCTTGGAGGAAGGCCCTTCACTCACTCCTCTAAGTTGGGACTACTGATGCTTCCCTTGCAGGCTTTGTAGTATTAGTAGCCACCTAATTGGCTGGAGATGAGAGTAAGTGATATTCATTCATTTCATGAATCTCTCTGTAAGGTAATATTATCTGTACTGGATAGATGAAGAAATGGAAGATTAGGCCATCAACTCCATTTCCACCCTAGTAAGAGGCAGAACTGGGATTTAACCCTGAAACCTTTCATTTTTAGGCAGTGTTCTGCTCTGGCAGACTGGCCAGTATACTGGCATCCTCTGTGGGAGGTCAGAGAGAGAGAAGGGCAAAATGTTGGACGTTTGGTAGGCCCTCCCTAGGTTTTAGGAAATTTTGAAAGAAGATATGTATTTCTTGTGCCAGTCCTGGGGCTTGAACTCAAGGCCTGAGCTCTGTCCCTGAGCTTTTTTTTTTTTTTTGTCGGTCGTGGGGGCTGAACTCTGGGCTTGGGCGCTGTCCCTCAGCTCTTCAGCTCTACCACTTGAGCCACAGCACCACTTCTGGCTTTTTTCTGGTTATGTGGTGTTGAGGAATCAAACCCAGGGCCTCATGCATGTCAGGCAAGTGCTCTACTCAAGACTATCACTACCACTTGAGCCACAGCTTTCCTTTTTTTTGTTGTTGTTATTTTTTTGGTGTTTAAGTGGAGATAAGGGTCTCACAGACCTTCCTGCCTGGGCTGGCTTTGGACTGCAGTCCTCAGATCTCAGCCTTCTGAGTAGTAGAATTTTAGGTGTGAGCCACCAGCACCTAACTCCGAAAGGATATTTTCTATTCTAAGCTTTTTGTCTTGCTTCTCTGCCCAAGTTTAAGGTATATTGACTGATTGGGTTAAATAGTACATGTCATCTAGGAGTGTTTTGCCACCTGCCTTCATCCCCAGATGTCTGGAGAAGATTCAGTTATATGGTTCCTGCATGTGATGCTCTCACGAGTGCATGTTCTTGTTGTTTTGTGCTTGGTTGAAAATTTCTCTCTGGGTTTGGTCTTCACAGGTTTCTGAAACACTGAAGCGTTTTGCAGGGAAGGTGACAACAGCCAGTGTGAAAGAAAGGAGAGAGATCCTCAGTGAACTGGGGAGATGTGTTGCTGGAAAAGGTATCTATTTACCATCATGTGCCTTGGATGCTGTTCCATTTTTAAAATAAGTTGTTTTTTTCTTTAGAAATGTATCTTTTGGGCCGGGCGCTGGTGACTCACGCCTGTAATCCTAGCTACTCAGGAGGCTGAGATCTGAGGATCATGGTTCAAAGCCAGCCCGGGCAGGAGAGACCGAGAGACTCCTGTCTCCAATAAACCACCAGAAAACCGGAAGTGACGCTGTAGCTCAAGTGGTAGAGCGCTCGCCTTGAGCTGAAGAGCTGAGGGACAGCGCCCAGGCCCAGAGTTCAAGCCCCACGACCGACAAAAAAAAAAAAAATTGTATCTTTCGGGGGCTGGGAAGGTGGCTCAACGGTAGAGCACTTGCCTTGCATGCATGAGGCCCTGGGTTCAATTTCTCAGCACCACATAAGCAAAAAGAAAAAGGCCGGAAGTGGCGCTGTGTCTCGAGTGGTAGAGCACTAGCCTTGAGCTGAAGAGCTGAGGGACAGCTCTGAGGGACAGTCCCCACTACCGGACCCCCCAAAAAAAGAAATGTATCTTTCCCTCTTCTCTGTACAACTTCTGCCTTCACTTTCTGTTTCTTTCCTCTAAAGTACATTGAAACTGTTGAAATGTTTGGGCTAATGGGGAGTTTATACATGTAGGATCTAAAGCTGTTGGTAGTTTTTGCCTTTTTTTTTTTGGTTGGTTGGTTTACCTCAAGCTTTTTATTTCTTGTCAGTCATGGGGCTTGAACTCTGGGCCTGGGCCCTGTCCCTGAGCTCTTCAGCTCAAGTGAGGGCTTTATCACTTGAGCTATAGTGCCACTTCTGGTTTTCTGGTGGTTTATTGGAGATAGGAATCTCATGGACTTTCCTGCCAGCCTGGCTTTGAACTGCGATCCTCAAATCTCAGTCTCCTGAGTAGCTAGTATTACAGGATGAACCACCAGCACCTGGCAACCTCAAGCTTTTTTTTGTTGTTGTTGTTGTTGGTTGTAGAGCCTGAACTTGGGCCTATGCGCTGTCTCTCAGCTCTTCAGCTCAAGCCATAGCACCCTTCCAGCTTTTTCTGCTTATGTGGTGCTAAGGAATGGAACCCAGGGCCTCATGCATGCAAGGCAAGCACTCTACCACTAAGCCACCTTCCCAGCCCACCTCAAGCTTTTTTTTGTACCAAGATCATAGGACATTACTGCTTTTTTCTTCTAGGATTTTATCTCAAAGATATTAGGCATGCCAGAATGTCCAGTGGCCAGATTACTGTCTGGCTTAAGCAGGTGCTCACCTCGTTGTTGTTATTGCTTTTGGTTGGTCATGGGGCTTGAACTCTGGGCTTGGGTGCTGTCTCTGCGCTCTTCAGCTCAAGGTGAGCACTCTACCGCTTGAGCCACAGCGCCACTTCCATCACTTCTGGGTTTCTGATGGTTAATTGGAGATAACAGTCTCACAAACTTTCCTGGACTTTCCTGCCCAGGCTGGCTTTGAACAGCAATCCTCCAATCTCAGCCTCCTGTGTAGCTAGGATTATAGGCATGAGCCACTGGGTATCAGGCTCACCTCATTGTTTTTACTGACCAGTCTCTCTTTGATTTCAGATCTGCCAGAGGGAGCAGTGAAAGGGCTCTGCAAGTTATTCTGTTTGACTTTGCATCGATACAGGTAAGTCCCAACTGAGAGGCCCAGTGTCTGGAATATAGTATCTGTGTCTAGGTACTGGGTTCTGGGCAAGTTAAATCTATAGAATGAGGATACCATTATTTAGCTCACACATGGTTGTTAGTAAACATATATGTACCATAAATACAGGTGCTGCCCTTACACTATTTATTTATTGGTCTGCTGTGGGGCTTGAACTCAGGGCCTGGATGCTGTCCTTGAGCTCTTTTGCTGAAGGCTAGTGCTCTACTATTTTGAGCCATAGTGCCACTTATTTTTTTTTTTGGGGGGGGAGTGGTTAGTTTGAGATAAGTACCTCAGATTTTGCTGCCTAACCTGGCTTTGAACCATGATTCTCAGATCTCAGCCTCCTGAGTAGTTAGAATTTCATGAGTGAGCCCCCAGTGCCTGGCTTGCCCTTACATTCTTTTTTTTTGGGGGGGGGTCCAGTTGTGGGGCCTGAACTCTAGGCCTGGGCGCTGTCCCTCAGCTCTTCAGCTCAAGGCTAGCACTCTACCACTTGAGCCACAGCACCACTTCTGGCCTTTTTCTTTTTGCTTATGTGGTGCTAAGGAATCGAACCTCATTCATGCGAGGCAAGTGCTCTACCGCTGAGCTACCTTCCCAGTCCCCCTTATATTCTTTAATGGCTTATTTGCCCTGAAATTTTCACCTACTTTGAGAATTCTGGGAGGAAGTAAATTTAGCTATTTTCTAACTCATTGTCTATGAGCAGCTAGTTTTTCCCCACAAGTGACTAGTGCTTAGCCAGAGCAGCCCTGCTTAGGTGACCTGTCCATGTCACCTTTCTCCTTCATTTTCCTCCAGAGATGCAGCCTCCCGCCGAGCCCTGCAGGCAGCCATCCAGCAGTTGGCTGAGGCCCAGCCAGAGGCCACTGCTAAGAACCTTCTGCACTCTCTGCAGTCTTCAGGCATTGGCTCCAAAGCAGGTGTTCCCAGGTAAGTGGTAAAAGTCATCTGGGTTGGTAGAGGCCTACTTAAGTAGGCTGATATAATTGAACCTTGTGGAGTATATGTGAGCTCCCCCGGCTCTTAGCCTACTGCACACTGAATGCCTCCTGGAGTTGGCCCGCTCAGTGGAGAAAACTTCCTTCCTGAGGATGAGGGCAAGAATCAGTGGACACAAGGCACTGGATGGGGAAGCTATCTTTTCTTTCTTTCTTTTTTAAATACTTCTAAGTGTCATGAAGAACTCTGGCTTAGGCCTAGACTCTTGTCCTGAGTTGTCACAGATGAGTTGTGAGGGGTGAGTTTCAAGTTCTGCTCTGATAGATTAAGGAGGAATCCACTGTACGAGGCAGTGCCTTGGGGTTAACATTTGTCCAGGTAGAGACCACCACTCTGCCCTCACTTGTCTCCTCCACCCTTCTCTTTGCAGTAAGAGCAGTGGCTCCGCAGCCTTGCTGGCCCTAACCTGGACCTGCCTTCTTGTGCGCATTGTTTTTCCCTCGAAAGCTAAGCGTCAAGGAGACATCTGGAACAAACTGGTAGGTTCCTGGATCTTTGGAGCAGGGAGGGTCAGCAAATAGAGGATAATGATTAACCTTCCATGTGCAGAATGCTCTTGCCTCAAAGTGATTCAAATTGTTCCAAGGCATGTGACTAGGGGGTAAATGTGAATGCAATGAAATCCTTAATTAATTAATTTTTTTGTTGTGGGGCTTGAACTCTGGGCCTGGGTGCTGCCCTGAGCTCTTTTGTTCCAAGCTAGTTCTCTACCACTTTGAGCCATAGTGCTACTTCTGGTTTTCTGGTGGTTAATTGAAGATAAGAGTCTCATGAGTCACTTTCCTTTCTGGGCTGGCTTTGAACTGTGATCCTTGGATCTCAGCCTCCTGAGTAGCTAGGATTATGGGCCTGGGCCACCAGCATCCAGCATCGTTAGTACTTTTGACCTCTGAGTCGAGCACAGTGCTAAGCACTGGGAATATAGTGGTAAACAAAAAGCATGAGCTTTACCGTCATCACATGTCATGGAAGACGTGACAGCTCAGTGTGGAAAAGACAAACAAAAAGCAGGAAAATCAGAAAATACAAATACAGTAACGTAGATCATAGGGGCTGGGAAGGTGGCTCAGTGGTAGAGCGCTTGCCTTGCATGCATGAGGCCCTGGGTTCAATTCCTCAGCACCACATAAGCAAAAAGAAAAAAGCCAGAAGTGGCGCTGTGGCTCAAGTGGTAGAGCGCTAGCCTTGAGCTGAAGAGCTGAGGGACAGCGCCCAGGCCCAGAGTTCAGGCCCCACGACTGGATCCCCCCCCCAAAAAAAAAAAATGTAGATCATACCAGGTTTTTGTTTTTCTTCCCTTGATAATCATTCTTTTCCCTTTCCTTTTCTTCCTTTTTTTTTTTTTTTTTGGCTAGTCCTGGGGCTTGTACTCCAGGTCTGGGCACTGTTCTGGAGCTGCTTTTGCTCAAGCCTAGCACTCCAACCCTTGAGCCTTAGCACCACTTTTGGCTTTTTTTGTTTATGTGGTACTGAGGAATGGAACCCAAGGGGTTGATGCATGCTAGGCAAGCGCTCTACCACTAAGTCATATTCCCAGCCTTCCTTTTTTTTTTTTTGGGTACCAGTAGTAGGGCTTCAACTCTGCCTGGGTGATCCCTTAAAAGCTCAAGGCTGACACTCTATCACTTGAATCCTACTTTTAGTTCCAGCCTTTTGGTGGTTAATTGGAGAAGAGGCTTAGGGACTTTGTGCCAGATTGACTGTGAACCTTGATCCTCAGATTTCAGCCTCCTGAGTAGCTAGGATTTCAGATGTGCAACTAGCATCTGACTGTTTCCTCTGTTTTGCTTATTCTGGGACTTATACTCACTTTTGATGCTTTACCAGTTGAACCTTGACTCTAGCCCATTATTTTTCCTATATTTGCATTTCATTGTTGAAATGAAGTTAATAGAGTAGAATTGTCATGATGAGTTTTGGTTCCTCTCTTTTACTGGGCCTTGAACTCAGGATCTAGTTGCTGTTTCTTAGCCTTTTCATTCCAAGCTGGTGTTCTACCACTTGACAGCTCTACTTTTGGCTTTTTAGTGGTTAATTAGAGGTAGAAGTCTTATGGACTTTACTGCCCAGGGCTGGCTTTGAACCATGATCCTCAGCCTTCTGAGTAGCTAGGATTACAGACATGAGCCAGCAGCACCCAGCCTTAAGTTTTATTTTTTTTAAGTTCCAAAAAATAGTTTGAGTTTGAGGCCAGCTTAGCCTGTGTAGTGAGTTTGAGGTTCAAGGCCAGCCTGAGCTACATAGTCTTTCGTGTGGGTTTGTGATATGTATTTGTGAAATAGGCCCCCTTTTCTTGCACAATACCTGTCTTACTGGAGTTGTGTGTTCACTTAGGCCATTGTTTAATATATTTTTTTCTCCCTCTGGACTATTAAGTTCCAGAGCAGCATTGTGTATTGCCTTGTTTCCCATGTGCCTTTGTTGTCTGACTCATAGAAGGTGCTTAGTAAATACTAAATAAACACTTGAGTGAACCACATGATTAAAGGAAGGTGATCAGGCTGGAGTTGTGGAAGAGGTGTTATGGAGTTAAAGCCATAAAGTAGAGGACCTGCTGAAGGTCACTGGCAGACTATGGGATTGTGGGAACCCTGCTTCCATGTCACATCCTGACCTAAGTCTTCCTGGCCCTGGCAGGTGGAGGTGCAGTGTCTGCTGCTGCTGGAGGTGCTGGGTGGCTCCCACAAGCATGCTGTGAATGGTGCTGTGAAGAAGCTCACCAAGCTGTGGAAAGAGGTGATGATGGCGGCAGGAGGTGCAAGGTGGTTCTTCTGTGCCTGACCCACCATCTGATCTACCTTCCTTTCACTTCTTCAGAACCCTGGGCTGGTGGAACAGTACTTGTCAGCTATTCTCAGCCTAGAACCCAACCAGAACTATGCTGGCATGCTGGGGCTGCTGGTGCAGTTTTGCACAAGTCACAAGGAAATGGTCGTGGTCAATCAGCACAAGGCAAGTGCCAGGCATGGTGGCTTTAGGTTTGTCACATCATAGATGCAATAGAATGAAGGAAAGGGAACTTACTTTACCTTGAGTTGCTTGCCTCGTGTCATGCTTGTTGGTTTTTCATGGGACCCTGGCCTTTTGCAATGATAATGAACTTCAATGAATTGGCAAGTTTTTTCTGCAGTTCTGGCTCGTGAATTAGAGCCTAGTTGTGGCATGATATTTTGTTTATTCATGTAGGCATTTATTCACACCCTCATTGGGCAGCTGCCAAACACTGCCAATTGTTGGGGATCTAGCAATATATAAGGGATCCCTGCAGAAGTCAATCTGAGAAGGAATTTGATATTAGACAGATGATCGTCTAGTTAATTATAATGGTGATAAGTGCTATAGGGGAAAATGCAAGAAGCTGTGATACTGTATAGCTGGAGGAACTGACCTAGGGAACATGTCTCCATAATGAAGGGAGTTTGAGAGTAAAGAGGTGAGGAAGAGCACTTTAGGCATGGAAGGAGCATCTGGGGTGCAAGTGGGGTTGGAGAGACAGGAGTATGTGAGGTATAAACTGGGAGTAGACAGCTTTAGAAGCCATGTCAAGACCATTGGACTTTCTCCTAGGGGCATGGAAAGTCGTGGAAGGGGGCTGGGAAGGGGGTTAAGGTAAAGTGCTTGCCTAGCATGCCTGAAGTCCTGGGTTTGATTGCTTAGTATCACATAAAAAGAAAAAGCTGAAGTGGTGTTGTGGCTCAAGTGGTAGATTGCTAACCTTGAGCAGAAAGAAACTTAGGGACAGTGCCCAGGCCCTGAGTTTAAGCCCTAGGACAGGGCCCCCCAAAAAGAAAGGAAGCCATGGAAGGCTTTTAAATAGATTGGCAGGAGCGACCAGAGCTCTGCTTACCACAGATTTTATAGATTGGTTTGTGGTTTTTGGAGGCGCTGACAAGAATGGACCTATTAGACTTACAGTCAGATATTTCCGAGGATCAGGGTGTAGTAAGGTCTCTGTGTTCTCCAGAGTGCACTGCTGGATTTTTATGTGAAGAATGTCCTGATGAGCAAAGTGAAGCCTCCAAAGTACCTGCTGGTGAGTGGGCAGCCTACCTTATTCACTGAGACAAGTTAAGTCTCACTTCAGATGTCAGATATCCGCATTACCTTTTTATCTCGTTTCTCTTTGTAGGATAACTGTGCTCCTTTGCTCAGATACATGACCCATTCTGAGTTCAAGGATTTGGTACTGCCCACCATACAGAAGTCTTTATTGAGGAGTCCAGAGAATGTAATTGAAAGTAAGTTTGTATTGAGCAGGATGGTGAAGGGGATGTTTTTTTCTATTCCCTATGCTTGGCAGCAGGAGGCTTGTGTGTTGGGGAGGGGGAGATGTCATCATAGTTAACCTTGTTAGGATTGCAGGAAAGAAACCAGAGACACTTTTCAGAAATTCATAAGCTTACTTGTTAGAAGAATGTGTAAAAGTGTTGCTACTTAGAGTGCTGCATATATTGTTAAGTTTCAGGAAGCCTTTGGGAGACCAAATTAACAGCTTCTTTTGACTTGGTCTGAGGGTGGTATTTGAACTGTGAAGTATGATGGTTAAGTCTCTGCTTTGCTTATCTTGGTAATAAGTATCAGGCTTTTTTTTTTTTTTTAATTTAAACAGACTGGGATAAGTATACAGCTTTCCAGTAGAGCTTTGGTTCAGGCAGCCCTGTAGAAGTAACTCTTTTATTCTGTGGCCAAACAGTAGGCCTGGTGATATTTGCTGGGGAATAGGGCCAAAATAGGCCGTGATCCTTGAGACTGATAAAGGCCATGCTTTCTGTCCTTAGCCATCTCTAGTCTGCTGGCATCAGTGACGCTTGATCTCAGCCAGTATGCCCTGGATATTGTGAAAGGCCTGGCTAGTGAGTATTCGAACCTCCGGGCTGCCCCTTGACATACCTTGGGTTTGATTGTACTTGTCATAATTCTTAGTGAAAAGTGGGTAGAAGATAGCAGTTTAGAGATAATACTTTGTTGTTGTTTGGTTTTTTATTCCTGTCCTCAGACTTGAACTCAGTCTGGGCCATCCCTGAATTACTTTTTCTCAAGGCTGGCGCTCTACCACCTGAGCCACAGTGATACTTTTATCTTTTTCTGAGTAGTGGTGTATTTGAGATAAGAATCTCATGGGGGGCTGGGAAGGTGGCTCAGTGGTAGAGCGCTTGCCTTGCATGCCTGAGGAGGCCCTGGGTTCGATTCCTCAGCACCACATAAGCAAAAAGAAAAATGCCAGAAGTGGCGCTGTGGCTCAAGTGGTACAGTGCTAGCTTTGAGCTGAAGAGCTCAAGGGGGATACCACCCAGGCCCAGAGTTCAGGCCCCATGACCGGACCCCCCCAAAAAAAGAATCTCATGGACTTTCTTGCCCAGGGTGGCTTCAGACTGTGTGCTCAGCTAGAGATAATACTTTGAACTTTACTTAACTCAGGCAGAGTTTCTTTCTAGAGGTCCTTTACAATGAGAACAAATAGTTAGGAGTGAAATGCTGGGAGCCTGGGGAAAACAGATTAAGTCTGGTATGTTCAGCTGCTGACAGTCTCTGAGCAGTGGCTCTGTGTGTCCAGATCAGCTGAAATCCAACAGCCCCCGCCTGATGGACGAAGCTGTGCTGGCCTTGCACAACCTGGCCCGCCAGTGCAGTGATTCCTCAGCTATGGAGACTCTGACCAGGCACCTATTTGCAATCCTTGGAGGTGAGCAGGCTTCTTGGCCCTGGAAATGGCCAAGGTTTATTCCCCCAGCATTCCCCAGCATCTGGTGGGGACTTGATTCCTGAGTCTGCTTGTTGGTAAGGTTGGGTGTGGTAGAACATGCTTGTGGGACATGCATGAGGTGATTTCAGTGTTTTTAAGTAACTTCACATGTTAGGAAAACAAAAAGAAATACACTGAGACACTAATGAAGTCTTATGTATTAGGACCTTGAGTGATTTAAAACATTTTTTCTTTATATTTTTCTATTAGATTTTCTTTTAAGAATAGTGCCTCTTAGAAAACAAAAAGCTAATAAATGTCATTTTTAGTCCCAGCTCACATTAGAAAAGCATTTTGGAGTCTATATCATATATGATCTCATGAGTGTACTGTTCACCCCTTGGGAAAATGGGGATGACATGAATTTGAACCTTTGCTTCCCTCCTCTCAGGCTCAGAAGGAAAACTAACCATTGTAGCCCAGAAGATGAGCGTCCTCTCAGGTAGGGGATTTCTCCCTGGATTGTGCAAGTGTGGTGTAGTAATGGGGGAGGTTAAAGTAACTCACAGGTAAGGCGAGTCCTTTGAATCCTGACCTCTCTGACAGTGTTGGCTGTGCCAGCCTGCCTTCCAGGACTCTGCTGCCTGCCTGCGTGGCAAGAGGCCTGGCTTCTATAAAAGGCAAGATTGTGAAGGGAGAATTGAAGGAGGGTTAATAATGACCAGGGGAGAAGCATGGCTGCCGGGGGACCCCAAAGTGGTCTATGACCTGGTGTGCTGAGATGGCAGTGGCAGGAAGACTTGCCTGCTGTGGTTTTGTGTAGAGGAGAGGCTGAACAGGGAATCTGCCTTTCAGGGATTGGGAGTGTCAGTCATCACGTGGTGTCAGGGCCTTCTGGGCAAGTCCTGAATGGGACCGTGGCTGAGCTGTTCATCCCATTTCTCCAGCAGGAAGGTAATTCTTCAGCATGGGGAGTGTGTGGTCCACACCGATCCTTGACCATTTAAGGCCTTCCATAAGCCCCTTCTTTAGCCTACCTCCAGCTGGCAAGACCAGGAATGGTCTAAAATGTCACTGCTTCCTTCTCTAGCACTCTGTCTTGCTTTCTTGTGCTGTTTCTAATGATTTGATGTAGTTATGATGTCAAACTGACTGGCTTGGTGCTGCTTGCCCTAGTTCATGAAGGCACTTTGGTACACGCTGTCTCTGTCCTGGCTCTCTGGTGCAACCGGTTCACTACAGAAGTTCCCAAGAAGCTAATTGACTGGTTCAAGAAAGCTTTCAGCCTTAAAACTTCCACCTCTGCAGTGAGACACGCCTACCTGCAGTGCATGCTGGCCTCCTTCCGAGGTAAGTGGCCTTTAGACCAGTGTCCAGACCTCCTCTGTAGGGTTGGACAAGTCTTCAGGACATTATCACTATTCTAGGCTTTTTTTCCCCCTCCTCTTTCCCTCTTCTTTCCTTCCCTCCCTCTCGCTCCCTTTTTGTGTTGGTACCTGGTCCTGAGTGGAAAAAGCTAAGTAAGAATATGTAACCTTGAGTTCAAGCCATTACTCAAAAAAAAAAAAACTAAAAAGGAAAAGAAAAACAAAAATGTCTTTGCCAGTTGCCAGTAGCTCATGTTTGTAATCCTAGCTACTCAGGAGGCTGAAATATGAAATTGTGATTCAAAGCCAGACTGGGCAGGAAAATCTGTAAGATTCTTACCTCCAGTTAACTACCAGAAAAGCTAGAAATGAAGCTGTGGCTCAAGTAGTAGAGCACAAGCCTTGAGAAAAAAAGTGGAGGGATAGGTCTTGAGTTAAAGCCCCAAACTGACACACTTTGAATGGAGAACAATCTATTCATCTTTTCTGAAAAGTATCATCAGGCCCTGAGTCATAGATTATCTTCACATAGTGATTTATGAGGTTATACAAAGCCACAGAGTGTGCTGATTAAACTCATAGATGCTCATGTGTGTAATAGTTAATACTACCTTAGTGATAGAATGAACTCATGTCTTCAATTTGAAAACTGTATGTACTTATATACATATATACATATATATATATATATATATATATATATATCAGTTTGCATTTTTGCCACTTTGCTCAATCTTGTTGCTCTACCACTTGAGCAACAAGTCCACTTCCAGCTTTTTGTTGACTAATTGGAGATAAGAGTTTCATGGACTTTTTTACTTGGCCTGGCTTTGAGTCATGAGAATGAGCCACTAGTTCCCAGCTTCAGTATGAAATAGTCTGATACATTGTGAATAGTTATAAAAATGAGTTAGTGTTAATTAAAAATATATAGTGTTTTTTAAATTTGTTTTTGATTGGGGCTTGAACTTGAGGTCTGGGGGCTGTCCCTGAGCTCTTTCACTCAAGGCTAGCACTCTACCACGGTGAGCCACAGTGCCACTTCTGGTTTTCTGGTGGTTAGTTGGAGATAGTTTCACGAACTTTCCTGCCCTAGCTGGATTTGAATTATGATCTTCAGATCTCAGACTCCTGAGCAGCTAAGCAAACAGACATGAGCCACCAACATCTGGTTAAAAGTATATAGTTTTTTGCAGTTTGAACTGCATATGTACATTTATCTATGTATGTATGTATATATGTATGCATGCATATATGAATTTATATATGTATGTATTTTCTGTTGGTTGTGGGGCTTGAAATCAAGGCCTGGGCACTCAGGGCCAGTGCCTGATCTCTTTTGCTCAAGACTAGCACTCTATCTCTTTGAGCCACAGCTCCGATTCTGGTTTTCTGATGGTTAATTGAAGATAAGAGTCTCACTGACTTTTCTGCCCATGCTGGCTTTGAATTGTGATCTTCAGATCTCATCCTCCTAAATAGGTAGGATTATAGGCATGAACCACCAGCACCTATCTGGTTTCTCTTTTTTTTTTTTTTTTTTAGTCGGTCCTGGGCTTGAACTCTGTGCTTGGGCGCTGTCCCTGCGTTCTTCAGCTCAAGGGGAGCACTCTACCGTTTGAGCCACAGAGCCACTTCCGGTTTTCTAGTGGTTTATTGGAGATAAGAGTCTCACGGACTTTCCTGCACGGGCTGGCTTTGAAACATGATCCTTAGATCTCAGCCTCTTGAGTAGCTAGGATTACAGGCGTGAGCCACAGGTGCCCAGCTTTTTGTTTTCTCCTTTTAAAAATGAATTTGTAGCCGGGTGCTGGTGCTCATGCCTATCATCCTATCTACTCAGGAGGCTGAGGTCTGAGAATCATGGTTCAAAGCCGGCAAAGGAAAGTCCGTGAGACTCTTATATCCAATAAACCACTAGAAAACTGGAAGTGGCACTATGGCTAAGTGATAGAGAGCTCGCCTTGAGCTGAAGAGTGCAAGTACAGTGCCCAAGCTCAGAGTTCAAGACCCACAACTGACAAAAAAAAAAAAAAAAAGAATTTTTGGCTGGGAAGGTGGCTCAGTGGTAGAGTGAGTGCCTTGCATTCATGAGGCCCTGGGTCTGATTCCTCAGCACCACATAAGCAGAAAAAGCCAGAAGTGGCCCTGTGGCTCAAGTGGTAGAGGGCTCACCTTGAGCTGAAGAGCTGGGGGACAGCATCCAGGCCGAGTTCAGGCCCCATGACTGAACCCCCCAAAAAAAAGAATTTTTTTTTTTGGGTCCGGTCGTGAGGCCTGAACTCTGGGCCTGGGCGCTGTCCCTCAGCTCTTCAGCTCAAGGCTAGCATTCTACCACTTGAGCCACAGCGCCACTTCCAGCTTTTTTCTTTTTGCTTATGTGGTGCTGAGGAATTGAACCCAGGGCCTCGAGCATGCAAGGCAAGTGCTCTACTACTGAGTCACCTTCCCAGTCCCCCAAAAAAGAATTTGTTAGACACCTTGGCACTGAGTTCAAGTCCCAGTACCAGCTTACACGCTAAAAAGAGTTTAAGAAGCTTTTAAGGCAGGTTTTCAGCTTTGGAATTTGGATCCAAAGGTGGTCTGTCTCGTATGGGGGAAGAATACCACATTGGCATTCATAGGTTTAATGTTGGCACTGGCTCTGTGTCAACCAGCTGTAAGGCCTTGGACAATTTATCTCTGTTTTCTTACCCATCAGATTAATAAGCATTAATTAGGATTAATGAATAAGGGTTAATAAAGATCCTTCTACCTCTAATGTCTGTATGGTTTAAGTCCCAATTTCTTTTTTTTTTTTTAATTTTTTTTTTTTGGTCCGGTTGTGGGGCCTGAACTCTGGGCCTGAGTGCTATCCCTCAGCTCTTCAGCTCAAGGCAAGCGCTCTACCGCTTGAGCCACAGTGCCACTTCCCGCTTTTTTTCTCTTTGCTTATGTGGTGCTGAGGAATCGAACCCAGGGCCTCACGCATGCAAGGCAAGCGCTCTACCACTGAGCCAACTTCCCAGCCCATAAGTCCCAATTTCTAACTAAGTTCTTTATAGTATTTAACAGTAAACTGAAGGTTTTGTTTTGTTTTTTGGTTCTGGGGTCTGAACTCTGGGCCTTGGGTGTTCTCCCTCAGCTCTTCAGCTCAAGGCTAGTGCTCTACCACTTGAGCCAAAGCACCACTTCTGGCTTTTTCTGCTTAAGTGGTGATGAAGAATTGAACCCATGGCCTCATGCATGCAAGGCAAGCACTCTACCACTGAGCCTCCTTCCCAGCCCTAAATTAAAAGGGTTTTAGCAGTTCAGATGTGAATGACTCCTTTCTCCAAGTGATCTTGCCACCCTGGAGCTCAGGATGTTTTGTAAGGTGTTGGTCCTCTCTCCACAGGTGACACATTGTTGCAGGCACTGGATTTACTGCCCTTGCTCACTCAGACAGTGGAGAAGGCAGCTTCCCAGAGCACTCAGGTTCCCACCGTCACTGAAGGGGTCGCTGCAGCCTTGCTGCTCTCAAAGCTTTCTGTGGCTGATTCACAGGCAGGTAAGGGTCCACAGATGCTGAGGATAGTAGATAAAAAGGGTCCTTGGACGCAGTGCCTTTGGCATCAGCTCACCAGCTATAGGCTGGGTCATAATGAGAAGGCAGCCAGAGGACTATGACCATCCTTTGCTCTTGTGCTCCAGAATGTGGATTTGGAGATGATGCTAAATGGATCTGTGTTTGGTATCAGCACTTTCTGTCTTCATTAAGCATATATTCATAGGATACAAAATGGTATGACAAGTTTGCTTTAGTTCTCAGTTCCCCTCTTTAGACTATGTTACCAGTTTTGTGTCCAGATGTGGTCAATTTGTAATGAAACATGGGGGGGTAATGTAAGATACACACTGTACTGTATTACATACAATAATACCTTTGAAATGATTACAGATCATTATGACAGAAAGAGCCTTCTCATTCTTTTTTTGTAGTTCTCTAGTCCATATTTTATTAGTTCACTATTACTTAGATTTCTGTTGCTGTGACAGAGTCCCTGAGAAAATCAGCATAAAGGAGTTTTTATGCTTTTTTTTTTTTTCTGTCGGTCATAGGGCTTGAACTCTGGGCCTGAGCACTGTCCCTCAGCTCTTCAGTTCAAGGCTAGCATTCTACCACTTGAGCCACTTCTGAGTAAAGGAATAAAGGTTATTTTGGCTCATGGTTTCAGAAGCTTCATTTTGTACTTAGTTGTTCCATTACCTTTGAACCTGTACTGAATCAGCACACTGTGTATATGCATACACCCAGGGACCTCACTTGATCTTCTACGGATTTACTATTTGCTGATAGTGCCATAGGCTGGGGAGCAAGTCTTTAGCACATGGGCCTTTGGGAGACCCTGTGGATCCAACTGTCACAATCCCCTACTCCTTGCATGTGCACGTGCCTGACCTTGTTCCTGTGGTGAGAAGTGGAGTTCAGCTCTGCACATATTACTGTGTGTCCCCTGTGAATATGCTGAGGGCAGGCTGCAGTGATACAGAGAGTAGATACAGAGAGGTGAACGTGCCCTCACCATCTCATAGCAGGGTGCTTACTCTGTTAAGAAGCAGGAAGATAACAATGTACTTTATTGTAAAATGTAGCACTAGGGCAGTTTGAGGGAGAGTCTTAGTATGAGTAATGGGAAAGTCTTTATGGGGAAGGAAGCATTTGAACTAGATCCATGAGGACCTAGACAGTCCTAATTGTGGAGTACAGGGAGAGTTGTGGTGCATGAACCTAAAGTATTGACAGAGTAGGTAAAGAGGAATTTCCGAGGAGAAGCCACTTGTGTGGGCTTCTGCAGGCAGCATGAGTTCATTCTCAAAGGAAGAGCAATGCAACCCTAAGAATGATCCAGCCAGTGAGGCTCCCTCACAAAACCTGTCCCAGCAGCTTCAGCTTATAGACCTCGGTCCTCCATTGTGCACTGTGTCATGGTCTGACCCTTGGTTTCTTGTAGAGGCCAAATTAGGCAGCTTTTGGCAGCTGGTCGTGGATGAGAAGAAGCAGATTTTCACTTCAGAGAAATTCCTACTCTTGGCTTCCGAGGATGGTGAGTTGCTTGGAACTAAGTTTTGGCCACAAGAAAGGACTTGTTTGTCCCTGACCAGCTGTTCAGCCAGTCACTTCTACAAGAGCCAAAGATCTGGCCAGCAGTTAGGCTGTGGTCAGAATGAATTCATTCCTGTGGGAGTGTCGGGATCAAGAAGCTAGGGGAATGTAGGAGAACTGTGGAGTCAGAGCAGTGACACTCTTGGAGCTGTGATACCTGTAATAATAGCTGGTTGGATAATTGGTGCTCTCTTATATTAGAGGCTGCTGAGAAGCACTTGTAGAGTGCGATCGGCTCTACTCCTCCACTAGGAGATACAAACTACCAGTTTCTACCCTAACAGAAAAGAAATAACTGATCTCCAAACGTATGTGCAAATTCTATGTTGCCTTATAGGAGTCTGCCACTAATTAGTGATTTGAAAATTCTTTTGACTCACAAATCACAACACTCCATTAATGAGCTACAACTGTTAGTCACTTCCTGGTTTTTGAGAATTTTGATTAAAAAAAATACATTCAGATAATTCAAAAGTAAAAAGATGTAAGAGTCTACACTAACAATTATACTCCTGCTTTGATCTGTGGTCACCCAGTTCTCCTGACTATAGATAAACAATTTTACCAGATGCTTTTATATTCTCTTTCTTTCTCTTTCTCCTTCTCTTTCTTTCTCTCTTTCTCACACACATATGTGTACATATGCACACACATAAGTATTTTTTTTTTTTTTT